CAATAGACTTCGATGTAATGCCCATTTACATTCATTATTCTCGCGCCACCTGTTGTGAGTACCGCTCACATGGCCCTAGAATCCAACTTGGGATCTTTCTGTCTCAGGTAGTCCGCGTAGATGTCCAGGTGTTTTACCGTGATTTCGGACGGTTCACTCAAATTCTTTACCACCTGATGGCCTGCGACCCATATGATTGACATTATTTTTGTCCCCTCTCTTGTCATGCTGAAGGTCTTCCCCAGACGACATTCAACTTTAGACCTGCTTCTTGGGTTCCTGGTTGTCCTATTCTTTCGCCGTTTTTCCTAGAATGTTAAGTTTCTCACGCAGTTCTGTGTTTTCCAGTTCTGACATTACCCACTGCTCAACCTCTTTCGTGGCCAATTCTTGCTGAATATTCGGTAGTGCGGTCCGTGCCGCTAGGCCATATTTTACTTTGAGCGCACTGGCTGACTCTGGCTCCAGGCTCGAGGCAATCGCAACATCAGGTAAGGTCTTCACCTTCTTTGTCGTCAATATGCCTTGTGTAACCTCCTTCTTCCGCGACTCGGCCTCGTTCATTAGGCGTGCTCGGCTAGCCTTGACCCCTGAAAGTGCCTCTTCATGGTGGGGATGCTTCGCGTCCGCTACTGCATCTCAGAATTGAGCGCAATCTGATTTGAAATGTCCTTCCAAATTGCAGAAGAATCATCTCGGTCCATACTTCATAATGAGTCCTCCCACTCATTCTTCGTGGTCCTCGTTAGTTGCATCAATGTCGTCAAGAAAGTGAGCTATCGCCTTCCAATTTTGCTTATAAGTAGAGCAGGTTGAATATTCGTGGTCCATCTAACCACAATTCGCACATGACTTCCTCTTATCCATGTCATCACGAGGTCTATACCAACTGTGGTTCGCGTCAGTATTCGTTCCGCTGTAGTTGCCACAATTGCTGTAACATTTTTGGGCCCTTGGTCTTATGAGCAAGTACTCACGCGATTTCATGCGCAAACCATCGGGCGTGGGTACTGAGTCTGCTGATAAGGTGAAGTGTGTGGGCAACATGGTTTTCAGCTCATCAGTTTTTACTCCTTCCATGAACTTTGAGGCAATGACCAAGTTCCGCTCCGAGATTCTCTCGTCGGCTTTACTTCTCCTTCCGAGTAGCTCGAGGTCATCATCAAAACTTGTCTATGGATTCATCATCTCTTTTCAAACTTCAACATAGCCTGATGTCCCTGTACACCCGACCCGAAACGACTCAGCAAAATGTCGAACCTTTTGCGAGCACTGTTTCGTTCATTAGTCCTTTTCGCCATTACACAGCTCAGGGCTGTGCCCTCTAGGTTGTTTGGCAGTGCGCTACCTTCCTGTTTCTTGGAGAGAGATTCTCCTCTTCAAAGGGTAACTTCATCACCTCTATCCATTTCCGATTTCCCCGATTTGTCCTTGTACGATTTCGGCTTTTTGAGTGTCCTTCGTGATCTGGTACTAATCTGACTTGCGGCATTGTCGGTAAGCATGCTCCTAATAAAGCATCCGCTTCTGGCGGGTCCGCAATTGTCCAACCCGCCCTCGACAGGGCTGCCTTTGATCGCTCTTGATCTCGGTTGGACCTCTGCATAAATGTGGGCTCCGGATCCGTCAGTTGCCTCACGCGAGTCCTCCATTGGAGCGGGACGATTCTCTCGGTTGCTGCCGCTCAGGATCTCATCAAACTTCCGCATCACAAGGTCAGTTTTGGTATCTAATCTTTTCTCCAGGATAGTCATCGTATGAGCATACATGTTGTCATGGTCGTTCAATAGTCGCTCGATCTCTCTCGTCATCCTAATGTCTTTTTCCTCTGACTGCTTGGTTGCTACAGCCCAGCTCTCTGCAAGGCCTTGATCAGTGTTCCGAATCAAGTGGGCCTGGTCGCTTCTGGCTTGTGATTTTGCGTCCGCCAACTCTCTTAACCTTTGATGGCCTTGTTGACCCCTTTCTCGGTCAATCCTTTTTGTCATGTACTGTCGCAGTTCCTCAAGGCCTGTCATTACACCTGCAAACATGTCGCTCACTTAATTGGCGACATGTTTGCAGGTGTAATGACAGGCCTTGAGGAACTGCGACAGTACATGACAAAAAGGATTGACATCATCAGCCTATCAAATGTCGAGGATACTCCCATCGTTATCCCATCTGACACTGGTCTTGATAGCGAATTGGACTTACTATTGGACTTGATAGTTTTCTTACTCTTCTCCTGTCTCGGGCTAAGTGTGAGGTCTATATCCGAGTGCAGCAGCCAGAGGATTGTTAAGGGGCTTAACTGACTCCGGAGGGTTGCTTCAGAGGGTTCCCCAAAAATCATGAAAAGAAGTATTTTCACGCTCTAAAGCCTACGACCACGGTGTAGCTGACTTGAAACAAGGTGGGTTGACCCGTGCAACCTACCCAGTAGGATAAAAATGTGGTTTTATAAAAGTTTTTGCCGCTCGGAGGGTTCCCTAAAATGTGGACCCTGCGAACTAACAAATTTAAAAAAAAATTTTCTCTCCTGAAGTTACCAACCTAAAAACGGTTGCGGTTCAGAAAAAAGGTCAAAAACTACCAAAACTATTATGGTACCAAAATTATTCCAATCGGTTTGTTAGTCTACGAGAAATCAACAAAAACGCGTTTGCTAAATTGGCTTTTTTCACTACTCATATAATTTTTATCGCTCTAACTCCAAAAATAATAAACTCGATTCTCAAAACATTTTGACGAAATTCGGAAAATTACAAAAGATTCGATCGAAACAGTTTATTTTTGCCAACTTCTACTAAAACTTATTCCGCACGGTTTCTTTCGTTAGGGGGCTCAAATTACGTAGTAGCTTACTGCGCAGAAGCTTTTTTTGTTGTCCGAAAAACTCCGATATTCAAAGTTTCTGGGATATTAACTCTGAAATTAATTAAATCTGAAACAGTAAAAAATAGGAGAGTCAGATTACATCTTGTCCGGAAATAATACATAAACTGCCATTTTTTAATTTTTACTGTTTTTGGTCTTTTGGATTTTCTTTTCTTTTACTGTTTTTGTACTTTTCTGCTTTCAAGCGAATTTGTTTTTGGTTTTTTCTTGGTTATACACTATTTTTGATCAGTGTTACGCTTTCTCTCCAATTGTTTTTGGTTCTAGGGCCTTTGGATAAGCGGGCTCATGACTTCCCACCTAACCCTCCGGCCCCCGGAATTTTTGGTCTGAACTAAGTTAAAAAGCCAAGCAACACCAGGCGGAGGGTCGGTATCTTCCACCTAATACAATACAGGTCATTAAGGCCTCTAACTCGGGCATACGCCTGGAGCGGAGGGTTCGTTGCTGAAACATTTGCTGATCATGATGGTCTTATGCGTCTATGTACCATGTAAGGCGGGTAAGGCGGGTTTCAGGTTGATCCACCTTAAATAGATCAAAGCTCCACAGTCCAATAAAAAACTAATAGTATTTGCTTTAGTTTCCAACCCTGTCTTTAATGGCGTTTGCATGATTTAGGTATTTAGAGACCTAGTCATTGGGACGTTCTTATTTCTAGTGTGGGGGTAGTTTGGTATTTACCTCTAAGCTGTAACACGATCTCGATGTCCTATGTCTTAAGCGAACTGAATTGGTGTAATATTCGCACAAATACTGCACAGTGACGGCGAGTATAAAAAGAACCTAGACGACTGGCCGCCGTCAGTTACCTAAATTCTACCCGTTTTTCATCGACTAGACCAATCCAGTTGATTTTCTGGTCTGTTTAGGGCTAAGTAAAAAGTTACCATATTTAGGCCGTCAGTCAAACGACTTTTGATCAGCTTTCGATCAGCCGGGGGAATGGCACATGGCTCCCACAGATTGAGATGCAAAAACACTTGAGCCATTAGTTATAGGGCCTATTTCTCTTAACCTCATATGTGACGTAAGCGGATGACTGTTACAGACATTGAATTGGCTTTGGTAGAGACGGTTTGAAAGCATGTAAAGCTGTCTGTGTTGACGCTAGCCACTGGTTTTAGAACCTAGCGTCCTTATGTGTCGGTATGTTCATCCGGGCGAATGTTACATTTCCGTCGGTATGTACTTCAGGAGAATATTACAAGTTCTTATATTGACCGAAAGCAAATGATCGGACGGGGCAGTACAACAGTGCCGAAGTACAACAGTGCCGAAAATGAAAACTTTGTTCAACAGTGCCGAAAATGAAAACTTTGTTCAACAGTGCCGAAAATTTGAACAAATTTCAACATATTAAGTGCGTCAATCAAAAATTAAACAGCGATCGTTTACAATCTTAAGTGGCAATTAAAGATTTTGGGAGAGAAAATTTAAAATTTAGACGTTTTGGCGACAAAATAATTGTTTAATTTGCTGTTGCAGACATTTTGGCGCCGAAATTGGAGTGATTTTCTTTGATAATTAGCGTCAGTAATTTCCCGCTCTTTAGAAAATGCGTGTAAGTTATTCTGAAATTTTCCCGCCTTTTTCGGCACTGTTGTACTTCGGCACTGTTGAACGCCCCGATCGGACTTACCCTCTCTAAAAGTCTCAATTTCGAATTTGAAGCATTTATCTAATTTTTCTGGGTATGAAAAAGCCATTTATCACCGTCTGCGCTAGTTTTTGCATCGTTGTGAACTCTCTCTCGATTAAGCGTAGTAAAAAAGAGGTCCATGCGATGTGGAACATTCGGCCAATGGTAGTTCATATAATCAGTATGATCACTTAATTAAGCTCAGTTGTTTTTTTTTAATAATTTTTGCCGATGATGAAAATTGGCATTTTCAGAGCCTGAAAAAACTGGTATTTGCTTCAAATTGTAAATTGAAATTTCAAAAAATCATCTGCTGACGGTCGATGTAAAGTTTTGCTGTAATGCAAAGAAGATATTGTCCAAAATGTTTCTGAAATTTAGGCTTTTAGGGTATCAAAACCTTAATTCGCGTTTATTTTTAATCTTGTTGGCTGATTTACTAAATATCTAAACGTGAAAATGACATCTGTTTTAGTGGTGCATATGATCTTGTCAAGGTAATTCATGCTGACAAGGGTATATGACAGACCATTTGCGCAATCGATTTGCCAATGTCGCTGAAAGACTAACTCATAGTTTCACAGAGCTAACCGCTGAAAATCATGTATATGCAAACGGTGAAATCGGATTAGCTCTTCAGAAATCAACTTCCTATTCAGCATTTGATTCTAGTGTTAGTGAAGACCCGGAAAACATTGACACAAAACCAGTTATGACATTCCGGGATCGCACAACTGAGTTCGGGTCAACTGTGAAGAGCTTACAAAGCCGTCAGATGCTTAATGGCGCTGTTAAGCCAACAAACGTAAACCGAACTATCCAAGAAAGAACCGAATTTGCCAAGTTGGCGAAAAAAGTTGGCCGAGATCTAGCTAGCACCTGTGTCAAACTGGAAAAATTATCCATGCTAGCCAAAAAGAAAACTTTATTCGATGACAAACCTCTCGAGATTCAAGAGCTGACTTATATTATAAAACAGGACTTGAACTCATTAAATGAGCAGATAGGTAATTTGTCAGAGTGGAACAGATCACGAAGTGGATCGAGCACGAGTAACAAGCACGTGCAAACTCACTCGTCCACAGTTGTCGTGGCACTACAGTCCAGATTGGCAAACTTGTCAACGGATTTCAAATCAGCACTTGACATTAGATCAGAGAATTTGAAGGCCTCGAAGTGGAGGCGAGACCAGTATTCAACACAGCAAGCCTCAAATTCTACGGGTGCAAATGTCAGTGGAGTAGGTGACCGGGTCAGGGAGCCGAATGGTCATCTGCCAGACAGAAGTGTGTTGTTCAGAGACGAGCAAATGGCAGTGGCTGCTGCCAATGAGCAGAGGAGTGCAAAAGGCGCAAATTCATCGGCAATCAACATGCCCGATTATGAATATCAAAGCAGCAGCGGTCAGATAGATTCCAGTGGAGCTGGCGGTATGGTGCGGAACAGACATGTGCAGCAGATGGCTCTTCTGGAGGAGACTGATTCATATGTTACAGAGCGAGCTGCGGCAATGGAGAACATAGAGAGCACGGTGGTTGAGTTGGGGCATATATTCTCTCAACTGGCCACTATGGTCAAGGAGCAGGATGAGATGATCGGAAGAATGGACCACAATGTTGAAGACAGTCTGATGAATGTCCACGCTGCGCACGGAGAGATCCTCAAATATTTCCAAAGTGTTTCCTCCAATAGGTGGCTCATGTTTAAAGTTTTTGGAGTGCTAATTGTATTCTTCATCATGTTTGTCCTGTTTTTTGCTTAAAATGAATTTGTTCCTGGAGCTTGCAGCAATTCTTCACGTTGTCAATCTATGCATGACGCGATGTGATAACAACTTTCAACTATTGGACTGGATTCAAAATCGGTATTACGAGAACATTCTCAAGAGCAGCTAAAGTTTAAGTTTCGGATAAATATGTTTTGGAATTGAGAAGCAGAACTTTATGTATACAATTTGTTGGGTTTTAGGTTACGTACAAAAAATGTTTTTTCATAGTTTCATTATATTCCTGAGAATTGAATTTCAATTACTAAGATGTAATTATAATGATAATAATTGGTGCTTACTGAATCATATGACGACAAGGAGAATCAACTCTGAGAAGAATTTATTCAAAATTTAGAAGACAGAGATTGTTGGCAGCGAGTGAAAGTTGAACTAATTTTCGTGAGTTTTTAGGAGTCGATGAACGTAGTTTTTTCAGGAAGTCTTAAAATTTGTTCAGGCACAAATCTATATTTTCACGGTTTTTTGATTTTTTAAATTCAGTTCATTTTCTTTTTTAAGGTCGGCAATTTCCACGATTGAACAGCTGAAGCGCAAAAGGTCACGAAAAACATGGGCGACTTCTAGTTTCGAAAGCAGAATTGAATTTTCAGATTTCCCGGCGAAAAAAATTTTTTTGATTCAATTTTCTCTAATTGGGTTAATTTTATCAAAAAAAGAGTAAAAATAATAAATTGTCTAGAAATTCAGAGAGCTTACTGGGCATCTTTTTTTAGTTTTTGAGATACATTTTTATACTCTTTTTTTTTTGTGATATCCACGCCGTGAGCTCTGATATAGAAACATTTTAGAGCTGCCAACTTTTTGACGCGGTTGTTTAGGTTTAAAGTTTTACAGTTTGTCAACATGCTAGACTAAATTCTTTGCGCTTTCATGCACCGATCTAAAATAAGGTATCATACTTGGGAATAGCATTTTTATTGCAGCCTTGCAAAACTATTTTTCAACTCTGGCCTTGATATTCTTGTCCGCCTTTCATTTGTCTTTTTTACTTAGTTGTTTTCAAACTGGAGGGAAGTAAGTTAAATTATTTATGGTTATGCTAAAAAACAGTAATTCTTTTTTCTACGATTTTCCGTTTCTTTTGTTTTGTTTTTGAGTGTTTTAAGTTTTGGATGTTTCTTTATAATCGGTTTATTTAAATCAAGTCAAATGAAAATGTTCTATATATTTGTGCGTTTTGTGATTCAAATAATGGTACTCGGAGTTGACCGGCTACCCTTGTTATGATTCAAAGTGGTAGCAGTCTATGTACCATTTAAGTATTATAAATGCTATCTTTGCTGAAAACAACATTTTGAATGTTATCTTGATTTTGCAATCAGAAGTGTTTTGCAACCGGTTACTAGACTTCTTCCCGTAAATAACTTTGCTCACAGGACTCATCTACTGTTTGGTTATAATTTTAGCTTGTTAGCATTTGAAATATCCGTCCAATTCAAATTTTACTTTTTGTTTTGGCTCTAATTTACGAAATGTATTCGAAATGTTTGTAATGATCAAACGTTTAATGATGAACATGTAATGATGATCCTTGTTCAGAGTCTGATATAGGTTATGATATTTTTTTCGGTTTTTTCAGGAAGTCTTAAAATGTGTTCAAGTGCAATTTTAATTTTCGCAGTTTAATTTTTGATGACTTAAGTTCAGTTCCTTTCTTTGTTAGAAGGAAAGCAAACTCCAGTATCGAACAGCTAAATTATAAAGGCCATGAAAAACGTGGTCAATTTCGAGTTTCGAAAGTGGAGTTTTATTTTCAGATTTCCCAGGGAATAAATCATTTATTTTTTGATTCATTTTTAAAATTAGTTTTTTCGAAAAAAGTGTAAATCATAATTTTTTCAAGATAATCTAAGAGTTCTTAGGCCATTTCTATTCTTTCTGTAATCTTTGAAAAATATACAAGCGGTGAGCTCTTAGAGCTGCTACCTTTTTTAAACTGTTATTAAGGTTTCAAAGTTGGCAATTTATCAACATGCTTGGCTCAATTTCACGTATTTTTTTGCACTTATCTAAAATAAGGTGTTTTTTTTGTGAAAAGCAACTTATTGCAATATGATATTTTTTTGCAATAGTTTTTGGACAATCTAATAAAGCTCTTTTGTCTAGAGACTGGACAGGGGGCCTTGAAATTGAGACAAGCAAACTGAACGACCGTAAAATAACATAATCTGGACGATAAGTCTTAGTAAATTTAGACAATAAGAACTGGGTCTACAATTTTTTTGTTTAGAATGAAGTTACACAAAAACAAGTATCTTATCACAGAACTCACCAAAAATTATTATTTAAGCTGTTTATAAAACAGAAATCGAAAAAGTATACGAAATTTTTGAACTGTACATTTCTTCAGCATACAGATCTCGTCAACAGGTATACGTTGAGCATGTCAACATTTTAAATTCCCATTCTAATTACACAAGCAAAGCTTTTGTTATAGCATGAACTCTTTTTTTCCAACCTAAGTTGCAAAATTGTTGCGACGCAAATGTTGCTGCGACAAAATGTGTTCATTTTGAAAGTGTTCATTTTGATCAATAATCAGCTATTAAGTACTGCCAATGCTAAGGATATTAACAGACTTTTATATAACAAATAGCACTTAAGCTTCAATGTATCATGGTTAGGTAGCGTAGAGATAGGGAAGCAGACCAGCAGCAAAATAAGAGGGTTCGAATCTGGGCAGGGTCGGATGTTATTAATGAATTTTTTCGTATACCAGTTAAAACGCGTCCGCTCTATAAATTGTGTGTTGGTTCGTAAAAATGTTCAGTTAATCTTATATCGGCTTAGTCGCTTTGTATTGCGTTGTTTGAAGTGGATATCAAAGTTTCATGAGATTTGTGCTGCTGGTAATTTTTCACTCAACGGTTGTCTACCCAATTTGTATTGGCCTAGCCAATTGGGCGTCTACCCAGTGCCTATAAAACTTGATTCAATGTTTGTTTACTGCTGACATTTTTGGACGTTTTTCTTCAAAGTTAACTTCATTCAAAGCAAACGTATGGAAATTTTTGTAAAACGTAGTTTCTGATATTATCCCAACAATTTTTTCAACTATAGACTCCCGCTCTTTTTTGTCTGTGGTTGGAATAGCAAGTGGTTGGAAGCTCTGTTTAACCTCTGTGCTTTGATAAAAATAAAAAACGATACCATGTTCATTTGATGGAACATTTCAGAACTTCTATTGGAAGTCAAAATGGCCAACATTTGGTTTGCAGGCAGCATCGCCGAGTCAATCGCGGAATCAAAAAGACGAAATGCTGTTTTCATTGTTTTTGCTTGCGACAGCTCCGAAAAGACTAAAGAAATGGAAGACACCTTAAACGACTCAGACGTTGCAAACGTCGTAACTGATTCAGTTTTGATTAAAGTCGAGCAATCTACAACATCCTTTACGCAATTTACACAATTTTATCCAGTTATGATAGTTCCGACAACTTATCTTATAGCACCCAATGGAACACCTCTTGAAATAATTGCTGGTTCATGCTCAAAAGAGGATTTAATATCGAAGATTCAGTCAACGAAAGAAAAGTTTCGCCAGCAGGCGGAATTGTGAGTAGAAAGCTTATATATGAAGACCAGATTTTCTTTTAAATTTCATTAATTTGAAAAACAGTTTTTAGAGTTCAAGATCTGGCATCACGGGATGTAATATGAGTCTGTTCAACAATGAATTTCGCACTGACTCTAATAAACTGACAGCTATTTGCATAAAATTGAAAAATTGTCGTTGGGCATTTTTTTAATCAAAAGCGAAACAGAATGTGAAATGTTAGAATGAATATGTGCAGTGCAAATGACAACGAAAGGACTATTCTTAAGTTAATATAGACGTGCTGATTTAGATCGAATGTCCAGCCATCGTCAGAAGAGGCCTCAAACGCTGCGCCATCTTCTGCAAGTATCGAAGAGCGGACTAAATATGCTCAAGAAAAATTGGAAGAGATTCGACGAAAGAAACAAGCGGAAGCTCAAGCGGCTGAGATTGAAGATGAAAAAAGGCGGAAAGCACAGATGTCTGAGTTGACAAGGGCAAAACAGGAGGCAGAGGAGAGAGAAATGAAGCAGATAGCTGAAGAGAGGAGGCGGGAGAAGGAGGAGGACAGGCTCGCAAGGGAGGCAATCAAAGCCAGAATCGCACAAGACAAAGCTGATCGAGCAGGTAAGAGTTAAATTCTAACTTTTTTCTAACCTGCCAATTCTGAAATCTTGGTTTCAATGAATAGAACGGATTTGAAAAACTCTCCTCCATAAGCGGTTATGCCCAATTTTTTTACCCATTAAGTTATGGCCCTCAGAATAGTCAACGTTTTAATATTTTTGATCGTTTTATAATCTTTTTTAACTTTCCTAGAGAACTGCACTGCCAAACAAACCTAGGTTTTTGGGTTCAATCGAAATAACAGATTGGGTGAATTTCTTCTGCATAAGCGGCGTATCTCATTTAAAAAAAAAAAAAAGCTATGATTCTCGGAAATGTCAACTTTCTGATTTGTTGACCGTTTTAGACTTTTTACGATAACTATCTTGCAAAATATTATATCATAGGTTTAATCGACTCATCAGGTTGTTGGAAGCGTAGCTTTATAATAAAGTTTGTTTACTCAGCTCGAAAATTACCGCGCCAGTTTTCAGGTTAAATGTTCAATCGAGAAATCTGATTTTGTGAATTTTCTCTACTGTACCGTCCACGACCTGATTTTAACTGAAGAAAGTTACCGATTTCAGAAAGCGAAGTTTTTTGAACTTCGACCGTTTTTTTTTTAGAAAAATACTTGATCAAATCTGATAAGAAAATTTCAATCGAAAGAAGCGTTTGTGTGAATTTTTCCTGCAAAAGCGGCTGCTCCCTAATTTTTTTTTGTAAGAGAAAGGCTATGTCTTTGAGAAAATTCTAAAATCTCAAAATTGTTCACTCTCCTCACTTATCTTAATAGAAAAGCAACTAGGGTTTTGGGCAAAGTTCAATTTTTTAAATTACGCATTGCGTCTTGCATCAATATAACATATTCAAAAAATATCAAACACGCACCTCCAGCTTTAGCTGAGCCCTAGCTATCTTTCATCAAGACATACGAATTTTTTGGTTCACCTTGTTTTTTTCAACATTTTTATTTTTTTAATATTTGTGTTGAATGATTGTTTTATGATTTTTATGATTACTTCATCTCTGTGTTTGCAGTTTTTGTTTAACACCGGCAATTGTGTATCTCAGTATCTTTCTTCAAAATCAATCACCTTCGAGACAAAAAATTTTTTTTTCGAATCAGTGGTTTTTGTCCTATTTTTTTTCCGGCTAGTGGCGTAACGAAAGTACAAAATTCCGCTTTGTCTCTTTTTAATTTTTAAAATGGTGTGTCAATTCGAACTTGTTGAACTTTATGAGAAAGGCCAATCAATGTTCGAAAATTCTTTGTTTTGAGAGATGCTGCTGACTCCAAGTTGCCTTACCGATAAGCAAGGGTATTGCAACCGAGTACTAGAATTTTTTCCAAGTAAACAACTTGTTCACAGCATGGTCAATTTAGAAGGAACTTAGAATTGGTAAATTACTAATATACTACCTTCATCTTACATGTGCCGTCGGTTATGTAGGTGTTCGTGATTGCTTTTTGTAGGTGGTACGTGCAGGTTCTTGAAATGTGATTCCATAATATTTTCTCTTAATAGCGGTAAATTCTAATCTAATTTTTGTGTAAAATTAAGACAAATTTTTGTCGTCTTAAATTTTCAGCAAAAGCACTTGTCGTCTTAACAGCTGTCTTCTTATTTGCCGGACACCATGTAATGTACGGTTGCAGTATAATGTACACCAAATGCTATCATTTCAATGGAGTATTGATCGAAACAATTTTCAGTTTTCGTCTGCTAGTATATGAAAGAGATTTAAAGTAGGTTCAAAGATCATTATTTTTCGACCAATCGTGAATTCAAATTCCTAGGAATTACACGTTTTTCTAGAAATTAATTCCAAAAAGTCTCGGTGTATTTTCAGCTTTTTGCGTGTCGGCCTTAATTCCCTCGGCTTTTTTTACCTTGTTATTTTTTCAATTATCTAGTCAAATTTATCAATTGAAATTAATATATGTTTGACAATATTGTCGCGAAAGCTTTAATTCAAGTGATTGGACACTCTTTTTAAAAAAAAATCATTTTTTTTAATTAAAAAAAAAACTTTTTTTTTGTTCACGGAGTGACATGCTATACTTTTCTTATTCTTGTTAGTGAAAATAACTGATATCATGGGTGGTTGTGCGATTGCATGGTATATTTTTTCGATCAGTTTTTTTCGTCAATTGGTGTTTTGCTGTAAAAACGATTTGAGATACTAGACGTGGGTTTATAACGATCTAATTGCTATCAGATCAGATGATACTTTTCGACAATATTATAGTTTTTGCTCATAATTTAGAGATTTTATCGCGAGAGGTTTCAATTTCGAATTGAGTTTTTTTAGACGTATGAAGTTTTTGAGTTGTTTATTGAGTTTTTGATCTTTTTCTACTGGTGGCTTCCGGCTATCGTTGCCATTTCCTTGTTAACAATTGTTTACATTGCATCGCAAGTGGTGCGAAGCTCTGCTTCGCTTCTGTGTAATTGTTATCAAGTTTTTTCAACTTTATAGCTGTGTAACAAGTTCTTTAGCTGTTCCTTGGACTGAGAAAGTAACATCACATGTAGTGGATATGAATTATGGTAGGATACTAAAAGAAGCGACTGATCTAGAGATTAATGCATTAAACAAGCTCATGTTTCTCTGTTTCTCACCTATGTCACTTAACCCTTATCTGAAATAGTGCATTGATCGCCAATGCCTATTAAAATGAGTGTTTTTGGTTTTGAGACTTGATGTGTGCTCTGATCTGATGTATAGTGAAGGGTTTAGCTAACAGTTTGGATTGTCGAAATCATATGTTGAATTTTTTTAACCAACAATTGAAGGAATTTATGATTTTTTTCAATGAGAATTGTTTTAGCTAAGTTTTCAAAAGAAAAAGCTGATAGCGAGACTGCGAACCTCATCACGGTCCAGTCTCAGCCAACACCTCCTCCCGCGTTTGACGGAATCGTCAGAATCCAACTGAGGTTTCCAGACGGCACACATGAGACAATGACAGCCCCTGCGGAAAGTCAGCTTCTGGAACTGAAGCAATCTGTGCTCACAAATTACTGCGATCGAATCGGTAGCGGTTATTTCAATCTCGCTGTTCCCTACCCTCGAAGAGTCTTCACAGATGAAGAAATGTCAGAGACACTTGAGAGTTTGTCGCTGATTCCCTCGACTGTTTTAGTCGTGCTGCCTTTGCGTGGAAAGCAGACACGAAGTGCGCCTTCAGCTAACTCAAGTAATCAGTCCGTTGGTTTTATTGGACAAATATTTGCTTTGTTTGCTGCTTTTTTCACATTCCTGATGTCAATTTTCACCGGAGGCAACAGGGAGAGAAATCTGACCGACGGTCAATCAGCGAGAACCACTGGAGGTCAAAGTTCAAGTCGCGAGGTCGCGGGTTCGAGTTCGTCTGACCTGAGGCGAAGAAAGAAAGATACAGAAAAGCCAGAAAGTAGAAATATTCATCGACTTAATTCAAAAGACAACGACGATGATGAAAACAATACATGGAATGGAAATTCGACTCAACAGATGTAAATTGCTTGGATGTAAATTTGACGTGGTTTTAATGTTGTGAATTTCTCAAAATCATATTTACCTATATCGAATTGTTCAAATGTATTTATCGTTTACCTATATGAAAGTAACTTATATGAAGATAAGTTACTTTCAACTCCTCGGAGTAGTTTTGGGCTCCGGTTTAAAGTTTCGATTAAATTTTTTGAAAGCATCATGTTTTTCACACCATTACCTGCGGCACAAACTGAATTATCAAGACGACCCTTGTTGAATACGAGGTCACATATTTAAACGGGCAATTTTTTTCGTTGTTTTTTTTGTATAGTAAGCTGTTTTTCCGGAAGTTTTAATTTATATTCAGATTTTGATTTGCAGTTGTCTTGTTACCGGATTTCTTTCTTAAGATAAAATCAATTTTCAAACTTAAGTGGCTTGCATTTGCGGGGAACTAATTGCTTGACTATTTGCAATAAAAACGAATGTGGTGTTAAACGAGCTCCAGCTGTCGTTTTTTTGGACAAAATTATGTAAATTCTGTGTTCATCTAGAGGCTAGAGAACTACGAACTGCAGTTGTTATTGGTACTTTGGCTCAGTTTTTCATTAGGCCTATTTCATGCCCTCAAATATCGTGTTTTCGTAATTTTTATATGGTGTATTTTGAAGCATGCGCTTAATTAGTGGGTAATAGGGATAATTAAGAGCAAGTTGAGCTGTTTTTGATATCATGATAAAATAGTCAGTGTGTTCAGACCAATTTATATTTATATTTCATTGGACGTTCCAATCCGTAGAATTAAGCTAAACAACAACATGTTGCTGCGTGCAAGGGGACCAAATATTAAAATCCCCCATAGCTCGCGTGGTCCATGACTCATATACTATAATTATTGGTTGGAGCTCAAGCAAATTTTATTACTTGTGTTCGGTCCTTATTGCGTCAACGTGTTGTAAGCTTAGCCACATTTCTTTGTTTCCAGTTCAGATAAAGTTGCACGCAGTCGCTTCGATAAGCTAAGCTCCTGTGCGAAATTTGCGTCTATTTCCTGTTTCTGATCTACTTTCCATATTTTATCCTGAACAGTAACCGTGTTGCGTATTTCATTTTCCTTAAATTTGCAATTGCATTCTGTTCCCTTATTTTCTGAATTGCACGTTTTTTGTATATCTGAATTGAAGCATAAGAAACAAGTTAGTCACTCCTTTTAAACAGAATTTACACCGACTTTACGCCTCAAATTTTTGGTCCAAATATTTAGTTTTGATCAAAATTTAATTGACCACTGGTGTCGGACATACTACAGGAAACAAGCAAATCAACATTTGTTCATCGGGTTTCACAAAGGTACTTTAATGGTTAATATGTTCATTCCGCCTCCTGAACAAAGTTCAGACGATCAAGTTGTTCACATATGTTTCCTTTTTTCAGAGAGTAACGACTCCGTTTTCCCAAATTTTTCAAATCTAAAATTGAAATCTACCGGAAAAATAAGTAAGAATGGATCAAACTTTGGATCAAGTCGTCAAATCGAAAAACATCAGATTCAACGGAAAGATGGTTGGCACTGGGCAGCAAAAGAAGCAGTTCAATAATCAGAATCAGGGTGGCGGAAAAATGTTCTTCCAGAACCGAAAACAGGGCTTCAACCAGATGCGACCAAAAGGTAATGTTGTTCGAAGCTTCGGCGGGTTCGGAGGCATGAAGCGTCAACAGTTCAGACGACCTGGCTTCGGAAACAACATGTACCAGCGTCAGAACCAACAAGGCGGTATGATGCGACAGAACTTCAACCCAATGCGACGAAACTTCAACAATTTCAACAACGGCGGGTTCCAACAGCGAAACCAGGGATTTGTCCAGCAAGTGCAACAATTCAGAAGGCAACCTTTTAACAACAATCCATTCATGGGAACTCAAATGAGATATAACAACAGACCTCAACAACAGCAGATGCAACAGAATCAGAATCGCTCATTTGGTAATAACATGATGAACAAACCACAAACCCCGCCAACCAAGCTGTACATCTCGAACTTGGATTTCGGAGTCACCAACACCGATCTGAAAGAGCTGTTCTTCGAATTCGGTCCAATGGTCAGATACGGGGTCAATTTTTCGGCAGCCGGACGATCAGTGGGATCCGGAGAAATAGTCTTCAGGAACCATATCAGCGCCGTCAAAGCTTACCAGAAGTACAACGGAGTCACCCTCGATGGCCGACCAATGAAGTTGGAAGTATCAGGTGGGCCTCAGCAACAACAGAGAACTCAACAGATGCAGAATAGACCGCAGCAGCAACAGGGTCAGCAGTTCAGACCCAAAATGCAAATGCGAGTGTCTCCTATGAAGCGACTGATGAACAACCGACCGGGTATGATGATGAACAAACAATTCGGAAAGTTCAACAAGAAGCCAGGGGGAATCGCAAATCAGCTGGTCAACAAGGCCAAGTTCAACATGATGAAGAAGGGACAGATGGGAGGCAAGAAGCAGATGATGATGAAGGGAACGCCAGATGCCAGCCAACTGGACGCTGATCTGGAGGCCTACGCCAACAGTAAGGATTAAGTATCTGCTATAGGTGTAAGAGTTCTCGTCCAAGAATTCTTATGCTAGCTAGCGGGCACATTTGTCCTAAGACTGTTGTTAGGTCCCCTCAGTCCTATTCCCACTGACAAAATTTCAAACTGAGATCTCATCTTGACTCGAACCTTTCCACTTCCTTCGTGCATGTTTTAGTTTTTGTTATAAAATCGTCGACACGTTCGGTCGCTCTTGAAATTTTTTGATTTTAAGAGTTTTCCGATTTTTAAATCGTTCTTCAACCTCTTGATCAAAAGGTTCAATCGATTGTTCGAAGGTTGATTTCAAAGTTAAATTATTGGAGATATTTTTGTGATTTTCAATAGAAACGATTTATTGTGTTGACTCAACTGAATATATGCTTCTTTTGCTAAAAAATTGAACTGTATTATTCTGACTTATTCTTTTCGATCATTGCTTTGATGATGGCATGCCATTTGAGGGCAACAAGTAGCCTTATAGCCATAGCCTCTTCGGAGTTGAATGAAACTTGAAGGCAAGTCCCTTGTTTCACTTGAGAGCAAGCGTAAATACGCTGTACAAAATTTGGCATCATTTGAGAGCAAAATCATGCCTTCTGTAGAAAACTTGAGCAATGATGCCCAAAACAGATCAAAATGTGATCTAAGCTCATTCGGCTAAAACCATGATGGCTAAAACCATGAAAACCGGATCAAACCATCAACTGATTTGAGTCCTTGAAGAATTCATGTCAACTTGGGCTTTAATTCAGCTCGATCATACCGAAAATATATTCGAGAAGCTGTCATTTCCATTACTTTGACAGCAAATTTATAATGCCAAAAATACTGGCAGCAATAATATTTTTGAATGGCAGAAATATTCTTTTGATGAATACAAATGGCAATGAACAAAAATAGGCTGCCTTGAAAAGCTGTTTTTAAGCTGCTATTTTTGCCAAGCAATGATAATTAATGTCGTTTAATGTCTATTGGTTCAGAAGTAATTAATGATCGTTTGAAAATTACGCTACCATAATTGAATGAAACTGGGCAGGCAACCCTGAATAATTTTTGTCATCTAAAGATTTTCAATTGCAATAATCCGGACCGGATGACAGAGTTAAGAATTCTCATATTCTAAGGGTTCTTGAATCTTTTCAAATGGTTCACAATTTTCAACATTTTTTGTAAATTTGGGTATGCAAAGTGCAACTTTGCGTCATATCATTTTGATTTTCTCGAGTGTCAAAAAATGAATTAATTAGCATTGATTATATTGTTTATTTTCCGATCAATCTTAAACCATGCGCAATTAATCATATAACTGGCCTGACTTGATTTCTTAGACCACTTGAAAGTTGCCGGCCTAGCAAATTTTTGTTCGGGCACTGTTGCTTAGGCGCCTTTTTTGAAGCTGTTTCTAGTTCCGACCACTGAAAATGGGGAGGGACTCTATTTTCGAGTGTTTCAGCTTTTGTTTTCCACGCAAAATCAGGTACTAAATATAATCATTGGATGGATCGAGTGATTTATGATATAAGAGCCCTCTCAGTCGTGATTCAAACATTTAAAAAGTTGGCCTATTGTCGAGAAAAACCAGTTTGAAATTTTTATGATTTTTGGTCTAATTTCGAGCGAATAAGGTGAGCGAGCAAGCTTGTTTTGTTTTTCAACCAAAAGCCTTGAGCACAAATAATTATCGTAATGCGGGATGGATTTTTCATATTAAATCTCTTTCAGTACTGATCAAAACGACATTAAAAAAATTTCAAACAATTCTCAGAGCAGAAAAAAACCAGTTTAAAATTGTGAGTTTTATTCTAACTTCGAGCGAGTAAAGCAAGCGAGCAGGCTTATTATAGAAGGATAAGCCATAAAATTTAAGTTTTTTTCAGTAAAAATTTTTAGCGCCATTTTTGAAATAAAAAACTTCGAAACAATTTCTACGGATTCGAATCAATTTCTGCCAAAAAAATTTTGTTTTTGATTTTTTTTGTTGTCATTTTTCTGGAATATCAAACTGGAATATAGCCTTTTTTCTAGTTATCAACTAGTTTAACAAAGTGCAAGATGGACAATGCATGTTCTTGCAACTACAGTGAATTAAAACTTTTTTTTCTAAAATCATATCTTTTTCGGCTTAACTTGTATCTGCTCAAAGATTGTCGCCTTTGTTTGCTTTCGTAAATTTTGTTCTGTTGTTGCTAATTTTAAATTCAAGTGTCTGGCATGTTTGTCTGGAATGAACTTCAATCGAGACATATGAAAGATGATATGTCCTAGTTTTTTCAATTTTTTTTTGGCTTTTCATGTTTGTTGTATCGCAAGTGGTGCGAAGCTCCGCTTCGCCTCAGTATTTAAAGAATATGATGGGAACATTCGGTGCTACTTGCACAGTAACCGGCCATCCTTGTTGAATTTTGGTTTTGGAAACAATTTTTTTGGGTCTACTATGACTATATTGTAACGTAGTGCTACATGCATTGGTTTATTATGTATATCAATGAAAATGGAGATGATTTTTGTCTACTGGAGCGTTTGTTTTGTTTTTGCAAAGTGTAAATGAACGTAGTGAAAACACTTACATAGGCTTTTATGATATTTTTTCCGGAAAACTTCCTAAAACTTGTTCGAGCCATTTATGGTCTTTTGCGGTTTCCGGTTTGACTTCTATTCTGAAATTTCTTTAAACAATGATTGATGGGCAAAATACTTTCTTCATGAACAAAAAACAAATGAATAGTAGTGATTGAATTAGAAGTCATTCGATTTCTTTTTTGTTCATTTGTTTGTTTGTCTTTCTTTATCTATGTTTGTTTAGTTGAATGAAAGCAATGAATACTTTTTTATATAGGTCTAGTTTTTTTTCAGGAAAAAGTTGAAGTTTCACCCTATTGTGTGTTTTATATTTTGGTGGTTAACTTTTGAGGTTTACGCTTGCGACTACCCAGCGATGTCAAACCGGAACAACAGCGATATCAAATCGGAGCTATCGTTTGTTTCGAGTGTGTAAAATGAACTTTTACGAACCAAGAGTTTGTTGGAGAATGGCTAGTCGTCTCTTGAAATACTGTATAATCTTTAGAAAATATGAAATGTAATTTTAAGTCATTTTTTACTCCCGATCACTGACATTTGTTTTGTATTGCAAGTGGTGAGAAACTCTTCTTCGGCTCTGTGTTTTAAAGTTCACCGTCCAATTCATTAAACAAATTTGCTAGCAAACTACACTCTGCAATAACAAGTGTTATTGACCATTCTACTTTCAGAAATGGCTTTTCATTGTAAGTAATCTCAATGAAATAAAAAAGTTACCTGTTGATACAGTTTTCTCACAATGGGTTTTTTTGCCAAAAAAAGTGTTAACGATAAACGTTTGAAAACTTGAAACTTGAGTGTTTATGATAAACTTGAAAATTCAAACGATTGAAGGAGATATAATTGTTTTGAAGCTCTGTTGTTTTATTGCAGCGATTGGGTAGTACTTTTATTTCTAGAAGAAAGTCTACAATTTCGGTAGGATAGAATTGTCAAAAAATGTTAGAGTCAAAGAGCTAACCGTAAATTTGTCCCATGAACTAAATTAAATGCCTTCAAAGAAAATTGTTTTGGAAATAATGTGCAATTTGAAATGAATACACAAATCAAACTTCAAACAATAAAATGCTAACAAAGATAGCTTAAATAATTTTAACAACAATTTTTTATGAATTTTAAAGCAGCTACGGATACGATATACAGAAGCCTAGAAACTTTTATCATGGGCCTATAATACAGTTAATTACACTTGCGAGAGCAAGTGTCTTGTAATCGGGAATAATAAAAAGCAAGAAGGATTCGGACGAAAAATTGTTAAAGAAAAAAGTCTTCTACCCATAACCATCTTTTCTTACAAATCCTACTTGCTTTTTATTGAACCTTAACAACTTTCAGGTTCATTCCCACTTGGCCTAGAGGTAACGTGGTCGCCTTTGCGTGGTCGCCCTAAGGTCTCGTTCGAGTTGCTTCGGGGCCTTGTTTTTCTTTCAGTATGTATGAAATTCGATTTGAAAGAAGAAAAAATATCACCTTAGATGAAAAATGACAATTGGTGATTGAGCTAGTAACTGGAGTAGTACTTCTGGTGCCTAGTTTAGTCGCGAGCCGAGGAAGCTATGTCAGCTACTTAATTATTACACAATGTACTTTGAGTGGTGCGAATGATTTTTGTTCGTGGACCAGTCAGGATCCAGTGAGAGCTTTAGACTTAACTTGTTCCATGTTGACAAGTGGAAACGCAGCCCATTGCAATAACGGCGCTGAATTGGTGCATCGAGGCATTCAAACTATTGGTCAGGAAATCAGATAGTCCAAACAGTGCAACAATTATGTGCGCTAGTTCTGATCCAAGAGGGCCCGATGACAATAGTTGATGGCAAAAAAGATTTCAGATTTTTGAAGGGAATCAAAAATTATAGTCCTCGAAGCGCAACCAGTCCATCAAACTCGATTTATGTAATATGGCCGAAAAAAAGCTGTTAATTAAAAAAAAATGCAATCTGTTTTCGGTTGGAATCGGATATGGCAAAGATATGGGATACATATGTGTTGTCTGTAACTTGAGCAAGTGACTTGTAATCGGGAACTGGACTTTTTTTCCACGTAAACAACTCTTCTTAATTTTTCTGCCGACATGTTTATTTCTGACATGCTCAAAGGCTGAGATGCTCAATTTCTTAGAAAAAAGAACTACATTTCAAATCATAATAAAGAAAATCAGATTTACAAATATAATTATAGAAAAAATGATGAAATTTTTTCGATTTTGTTTTTTGTCCTAATTTCTGTCGACTGACTTACCGTTTTTTTTCAAATGCAATTGACAGTATCTCGCGAGCGTTTCAAGCGGTTCTTTTTACACTAGCGATCAGCTTAGTGTATTATTTTGAACCTTCTTTTTTCTAACCTAACTCGCAAATAAAAGTGTTCATTAAAAATTTTCACTTATTTGGAAATTTCACTGTAGCATTGGAATTGCATAGCATCTGTTGTCTGCTTTTATTGTGGCTAGTGTTTAGTAAATTTTAGGTTTCCGTGGTTGAGTGGTTAAGGTGTAGACTCTTAATATTTTTAACAAGTTTTTCTTAGCTTGACTATTTTTTTATGTGTACAGTTTCGTTTTTGGCTTAACGAAGGTCGACCCATGTTTTTTCATCTTAGTTGCCGCTCTTTCATGAATCTCATTGTTTCTTAAGGCTGTTTACGGTCATCGTCCGAGACAAAGACATGAACAGTTTGTAGATAGTTTCTTGGACTTTTTTCAAGTTAATTTTTCAGCTCAATTTTGAAAAAAAAGACTTACTCCTTGTTCAAATTTTGTAATGCAATGTTTTCATTGAATCTCGGGTGTTGCGAATCTCCACTTCGTCTCTGTGCAATAATAATGTATTTTTCG